CTGGTCTCTGCTGGGCTGGCTGCACTTTGAGAAGCAGCCAAGAGAACCAAGATTAACAAAAGCTGTTAGGGAAAAGATGGTGGCAAAAAGAAAGGTAATCAGAAGTTCAGTGTTGGGGGAATTAGCAGGAGTGGGCTCCAGCACAGCTGCCGCTGGGCACCCAGCAGAAGCAGAGTCAAACCTGGGGTTTCTGTTGATCGATGATTTAGCAGTGTTGGGGTAAAGGGTGAGGAGGAGTTATAGAACCAGTGAAGTATGGTATGGGACAAAACCCTCAAAACACGTGTCCCAAAAAATGTCAATTCATGAAAACAACAAATACAGAGGGCCCCCAATGGCTTCCTATAGAATCTTCAGGATCCAACTCATCCCCCTCCCTCTAGGAATCCCCCAGCCTCTCTTTCTCCTCCTTTTAGACCCCAATCCCAAGGGCTCCAGGCAGCAGACAAGCCAACCCAGCTCTACTCAGCCTCCATGTGGTTCATGCATGCATTTCTGCTCCACTCTTGGCTCAGGCAGGGCTGCCTGGCTCCTTCTCCTGAACCATGAGAGACACCACAGACTCACCACTCTGGGCCCAGGGCCTGCCAGCACCCCCCACCCCAACACACACACATTGCCTAGAAGAACAGATTTGCTACATTATTTTTAAATTATTTCTTGTAGGCTTGCCTCTTGCAAGGTAGTAAGCTCTGTAAAGGCAAGGGAGAGATTTTCTGTCTATCTGGGTATGTTCACTATTAGGCATATGATAAACAATTAGCTGTTAAAAATGAATGCCTATCCCCAAAAGCGATCCCAAGGCTTCTTATGTTAGAATCACCAAGCGAGGATGGGATGCCCATACTTAAAATGTAGATTCTAGCTTTTTCTGATGGAATCACAATTTTTCTCAGCATGGCGTTCACAATCATTTGCATTTGAAAACTCCCCAGATAATTCTAATATGTACTGAGGTTGAGAAACACTGTTTAGAACAACAGTCTGCTTCCTCCGTAATTCAAGAAATATGTTCCAATAAGTCACTGCTGAGAAAACGTCCCAAATTCACACGAAAAGAAGCAAACTTAGCAACTTTGCATTCTTCTGACCCTTCATGTGCACGGTGTCAGGAGTGAAATGCTCTGTAGCCACAGCGATTCTATTTCCAAGGCCAGCAATACAAGTTCATCAATGAATCATGAGATTAAAGTTTAGGGAAAATATATCAGATTGGGGAATCCGAGACACAACACTGGTAGACATAGGGTGAGCGTCCTTGAGCTTGGGGACCATTATCCGTAAACCGATGCAGACTTTTACCCTACGACTGAGGTCTCAATTAGCTCATATTAACAACAACCAAGTAGCAGGGAAGCCTACAGGTGTCAAGGAATGGGGCAGCTTAACGAGAAGGAAGCTGGTCTTCGTGGAGTCCCTGCCACTCAGTGTCTGTGGGCTGCAACAGCAGAAGCCTTGGGCCCTTTTTCCTTGGTTGTCTCAATACTCAAAAGTCCAATGGGGTGGCAGGGAAAGCCCTAGGAATAACGTATGCACTGTTAGCCCTTCCTGAAGGAAAGAACTGTGGTTTCTCCAGCAAAGGTTCCTTTATTTCCCCATCTGCAGAAGGCACTTTTAAATAGAATCACAGATGCCTTGCCTTAAGTGCAGTTCCAGTAGCCCTAGATAGCAACACAGTCCTGAAGCAAGCGGTAGGGCACTGAGCAACCAAGAACGGCATCTTTATGACCCTCTGCTACTTTTTAACTGAGTCATGGGAAATCAGACATAAATTTACCAGGGTCTTCGGCTACTATGTAAACAAATCTATTTATCATACATGAAGATGCAATAGACTAATAGCACAAAGACTGAGAAAAATCCCAGTTACTTTTTTCTTTCCTCAAGGGCCAAGGTCCCTTTGGGCTGCCAGCTTCAAGGACGAGAGTGTACACAGAAAGAGCAACCAAACAAAAGGAGCTGACTATCTGGTTTCCAATTTTAAAGGAAACAAAGTATTTTAGAGTGATGGTGCTTTTTTCATGGCATTGCTTTTAAGACCAGATAATTCAGCTAAAGACAGTGCAACTGTCAGGCCCATTTTTAATTCTCGCCAGCTGCACTGCCAGTGGCTAACACGACCACACACTGCACGAAGCACTCTCACCATCCCCACACCACTGGGAAAACGGGCCTCAACAAAAGTAACATGTCAGGGGTAATTTCCAAGGCGAGGCTAGAGATCCGGAGGTGGGGGTGGGTGGGGATTACATTAACATCTTCAGGCCCCAAGGCCATCATCTGTTCTGCGCACTGAATTCACTCTGAGTGCAGATTCCCAACTGGGGAACGACTTCCATATGTGTGAACAGTTCCTATTTGACCAAAGGAAAAGTTCTGAGAGACCCACAGCTGCACCTGGGACTTGGCGTGGACATACCCAGAAGGTCCAGATGTTTATTCCTATAGAGCACAAATGTGTTTCCTTTCTTCCTGCCCCCCAACCAGCCCACAAATTTAAGCCCCACACTCTGGCAGCTGGCTTGGGTAACAGGAACCAACCTAAGCTTTAAACAGCAGCACAGCACAAGTGCCATCCACACAAAATCAACCCCACAAGATTTTGTAATGAAGATCTAGATTTAAAGAAATAAAAAAAAATCCAAAGTGAAGGCAGTCAGACATTGAATTGGGACTTTACTATATGCAAACACGAGTTTTGTCCCAAGAGGAGGAGAAGGCACAGACTTCTGATTCTGGGGGAGAGTCCCTAAGCTAGGCTGACCTGTGGGGATCCTTCCTCTCCTCTATACTCTAGGAGATGAGGCTGAATACTCTTCAGGAAAGCTGCAACTAGGCATTTACAAATCTGAACCTGACTCGGCTCTTAACACTTTTAATGCCCCCACTTCACCTATCCCTGACTACAAGTGGGTCCTGAATGGAAAACTTTAACAACCTTCCTCTTAGACAACTCTCAAAAACACTGGCTTCCACCTCCTCAGAAACCCACCTGAGATACTTAAGCAGCATCCCGAGAGCCAACAGGAGGAGGACACACCTCCATCACCCTGAGGTCACTGTGCAAAGTCAGTCAGAACGGCAGTACAGGCCTGTCTTGAGAATGTACTTCAAATGGGAAAATCTAACGTTCTAAGAACTTACTGATGTGGAATGGCGATAGCTATCCAGTTTCAAGGAAATGACCTCCGCCTGCCTCTCGGAATAGCCATCCCGAAGGACTGTGCTCTATAGCGTGCATTTGCCCAGAGGAGAAGGGAAATTGCCTTCTGCCAGAAAGCAGACTCCACACCGCCTCGGGGGCCAGTCCTGCCAGCCTTCTCACACAACTTGTATTTTATCTTTGGAAAGCTGTCAAGCTCTTTAACGTCTAAACCGAGGTCTCTCCGCCTTGGCATTACTGACATTTGGGACCCGATCATTCTTTGTACTGGGCGCTGTCCTGTGCTTCATAGGATATTTAATAGCATCCCTATCCCTGTTTTCCACCCACGAGACACCGGTAGCATCTCCCCAGTTGTGACAACCAAAACTGTCTTCAGGCATGACCAAAACCCCTCAGTTGGGAACTGCTGGTCTAGACAGATACTTCAAATGACTGAGTGGTTATTATGGGTGAAAGGGAGCTACCTGGAAAGAAAGGGCCAAGGACAGTCTCCGCACACCCCTCCAGAATTGCGTCTCTGTGCATTCTTCTTGAGGGAGTAACGACAACAGCCCGTGGTGTTTACCTGAGCAGCCTCCAGTTCATTCTCTAGGGCCCTCCTGGCTGACACAGCTTCTTTTTCTTCCCTTCTGGCCTGCACAAGGGCCTCCTCTAATTGTCGTATTTCTCCCTACAACGAAACACTGGGTCAGTGTGCACTTAGATGTATGCTGTACCTATGAAACTGACTCAGTGGAATTAAATGAACACCGAAGACACCCATGACGTGGCAGTGGCTACAGTCACAACGCACCTGTCACGGACCCAAGGCGGCACACGACAGCTGTGTTCTTGGATGTGTGTGCCTGTCTGCAGTTCCAGTTCTTAGCCAGGTGTGAACATCCACATTATCTCGAGTGATTTTTTATTCTTTATTTTTTAGAGACAGGGTTTCATTATATTGCTCAGGCTGGTCATGAACTCCTGGGCTCAAGTGATCCTCCCTCCCACCTCTCAGCCTCCCAAGTAGCTGGAATTATAGGCATGAGCCACCATGCCCAGCTGGGGTAATTTTTTTTTTTTTTAAATACAAATATCCGGTCTTATTCTTGGAGATCTGAAAACAGCAGGTATTGAATGGACCCCACACACACAGTTTTATAAAAGGTACCCAGGTGGTTCTGACGGATGACTGCCGTGGTTTGAATGCGTCCCCCAAAAAGCATATGTATATGTTGGAGGTTTAATTACCATTGTAATGGTATGAAAAGGTAGAACCTTTACGGGGTGATGAGGCCATGAGGGCTCTGTCCTTCTGAATGGGCTCAAGCTGTCATGACAGTAGGTTCCTGGTCAATGGACAAGTGTGGCCCCCTTTGGCCAGTCAGTTCCCCACTCCACCTCTGCCCTTCTGCCATGTGATGCCATTCACACTGCGACACAGAAGGACAGCCCTCGCTAGAGGCTGGTATCTTAATATTAGCCTCCCCATCTCCAGAATTGTGAGAAATACATTTCTAGTTTTCCTTAATTACCCCAATGTGGTATTCCACGACAGCAGCACAGGACAGACGAAGGCAGTGACCACGTGTATCTCCTCCTTCACTGTCAGCTGCCCTTCCTACTGCTGAATGTGTGTCAACTCTCACTCCCAGCTTCCCACTGCTAGAGGTCTGGCCAACCAGGTCACTGGCTTGTTAAAATCAGTGTCACTTCAAAAACATCAACTATGAGTTAAAAAAGAATATATAGTCTTGAGTGAGAATCAGTCTAATGGTGGTGTTAAGACAGCATTTTCAGGTAGAGGCTTGTGCGAAGCCGTGGAAGGCTGGATGTGTCTGGTATCTGGGTGCATGGGGATTCCTGTGCCTAGACCCGTGTTCCCACCTGACCTCACCCTCCCTGTTCCCAGGCCTCCCTGTCATGCCACTCCAGGGGTAACAAAGAAATGGCTTACAGAGAGGATGTATTCACTATTGCCTTGACCTTTCCAACTAACTTATGACAATAAATCCCTTCCCCACTTTTGAAATCAATTACACAGGAAAGAAGGAGCAGCAGCTGCCAAAGCTGGGCCTGGGCCCAGCAAGCCTCACCTCGTACTTCTTCAGCGTTTCCTTCGCCTTGGCTTCATCGCCTTTCAGGTCCTCGATCTGCCTTTGAAGCTGAGCAACTCTCTGCTCCAGCTCTTCGCTTCTTCCCTGCAGCTTCTCGTTCTCCTCCTGCAGAAGCTTCATGCGCATTTCGGTCCCTGCCTGGTCTTGCTCTGAAGTGTTGCTCCTGCTGGCCAAGACCTCGACATTCTGTTAAAAACACAGAGCAAATGAACAAGGAGACCGGTGTCAAGGAGCTGTCCCCAAGCTGGGAGAACGGCTGGCATTTATGAAAAACTCATTGTGCCCACTCAGCCAGGCTCTGTGCTGAGCCAGGGGTCGGCAAACGGCAGCCTGCAGGTCCAATCCAGCCCTCCACCTGTTTTGAAAAGTGCAGTGTTATTGGAACATAGCCACGCCCGTCCATTTGCACATTGTCTGTGGCTGCTTTCAAGCTACAACAGCAGGGCCCAAGTGGCTGCAACGGAAACCCCAAAGCCTACGGTGTCACAAAGAATAAAATGTTGACTCTCTGGCTCTTTTTAGAAAGAAAAAGTTTGCCAACCCTTGCCTGTGTTAAGATCCTTACATGGGATTTCAACCTTTTAACAATTCCAGAAGGTGGGTGCTATTCTTATCACCATCTTAAATATGAGGAAACTGACACTTGGATAGTTTAAGTAACTTGTCCAAGATCACTTAGGAGGAGTTACATTCAGGCAGACTAAATCCAGAACCTGTCTTCATAACCCTCGCTTTCTGACATGCCCACTTCCCTGCCCCATCCATGGGCAGGGTCTTTTTTTTTAGACGGAGTCTCACTCTTTGGCCCAGGCTGGAGTGCCGTGGCGCGATCTTGGCTCACTGCAAGCTCCGCCTTGATCACGCCATTCTCCTGCCTCAGCCTCCCGAGTAGCTGGGACTACAGGTGCCCGCCACCACGCCCGGCTAATTTTTTTGTATTTTTAGTACAGACGGGGTTTCACCATGTTAACCAGGATGGTCGCGATCTCCTGACCTTGTGATCCGCCCGCCTCGGCCTCCCCAAGTGCTGGGATTACAGGCGTGAGCCACCGCGCCCGGCCCAGGCTCTTTCATAGAAGCTCTTGAGGAAGGGCAGCTTCGGAGTACAGGTTTTTTCATGTCCAACAGAAAAGAGAAATTTAAATTAGCTTAAATTCGGATACAGTTCATAGTGTAAGCTCTAGGTATGCTGCACACAATTCACAACAGAAAGGAATGACAGTCTCAGGGTGGTTATTGTTGATTCCAGAGGTCACAGGGGCTTTGTATTCTTCGGTTTAGCAATTTGAAGTGATGTTAAAGAAGTGAGTTAACACTTGTCCTGCCCAGCGTTCCACCTCTCCAGGCAGATCTCTTGCCTGTCCTCCATTTCTCCACTACTACAAAGATGCCAATATCAGCAAATCTTATGCCTACAACACAATGCTACAGACGCCTGCAGTAAAAGAAAGGCCCAGGGAGGACAAGGTTAGGCTTTGAAAGTCTGTATCACAGCCCACGTGGGAGAAGTATCTGCTAGAATTGCTCACTTGTATAGACTTTATGGAAAGATCTTTACATCTCTTAGTAGTATAGTAAGCTTATTCTGCTGAACCTAACCAGTTAGAGAGGTTCAGGAACCAGAGCATCATTTCATGTCCCAAATGTTTAATTCTATACAACAGAGAAAGCCCATCAGTGCCAAGCAACTGAGTTAGAATGAAGTTAGCTGGCATTGCTAGGAGAAAACTAAGGTGTCAGACAGCTGGGATTTCTCAGCTCTATCAGGATATCATCTCCTAACGAAACCAGCAAGGGGACATGTCACAAAGATATACAGAGAAGAAATGAAGTGTGGTTGAAAACTTGAGGAAGGATCTAAAGAATCCAGTAACGGGTCAGACCAGGGAAAGCAAAAGTCTAGATTGCCCATTTCTGCCCGAACTCTCCCATCAACATGTGAGACAAAGTTACAGTTATCAAGACAGGGCAGTACTGGCATGAGGGTAGGCATAGAAATCAATGAAACAGAATTGGGAGTTCAGAAATAAACCCCTACATTTATAGCCAACTGCTTTTCAACAAGGGTGCCAAGACAATTCAGTGGGGGAAAGAATAGCCTTTGACAAATGGTGCCACGACAATTGGATATCCGCATGAAAAAGAATGAAGTTAGACCTCTACCTCATACCATACGCAAAAATTAGCTCAAATGGATCATAGGCCCAAATGTAGGATCTAAAACTATAAAACTCTTTAAACACAGGAACAAATATTTGTGACCGTGGGTTAGGCAAAGGCTACTTAGCTACAACACCAAAAGTACAAGTGACAAAAGAACAAACAGATAAATCAAGCTTCTTCAAAATTTAAAACTTTTGTGCTGCAAATGATGCCACCAAGAAAGTCAAAAGACAACCGTCAGAATGAGAGGAAGTACAAGTCATATATCTAATAAAGGACTCATATCCAGAATATATAAATGATTCTTTAAACCCAGTAATAAAAATACTTAAAACCCCATTTTAAAAATGGGGGCCAGGCGCGGTGGGTCATGCCTATAATCTCTGCACTTCAAGAGGCCCAGGTGGGCGGATCATTTGTGGTCAGAAGTTCAAGGCCAGCCTGGCCAACACGATAAAACCCCATTTCTACTAAGAATACAAAAATCAGCCAGGTGTGGTGGCGCACACCTGTAATCCCAGCTATTTGGGATGCTGAGGCAAGAGAATTGCTTGAACTCCGGAGGCAGAGGTTGCAGTGAGCCGAGATGGGACCATTGCACTCCAGCTTGGGTGACAGAGCAAGACTCCACCTCAAAATAATAATAATAATAATAATAATGGGGAAAGGATCTGAACAATATACAAAATCCAATAAGCATATGAAAACATATTCAACGTCATTAGTCATTAGGGAAATGCAAATTAAACCCATAATGCGATACCACTTCACATCCACTAGGCTAGCTATAACAAAAAAGACAGATAATAACAAGTATTGGGGAGAATTTAGAGGAATTAGACCTCTTATACATTGCTAGTAGGAATGTAAAATGGTGCAGCTACTTTAGAAAACAGTTTGCCAGCTCCTCAAAATGTTACACAGAGTTATGGTACGACCTGGCAATTTTACTCCTTGGTATATAGCTAAGAGAAATAAAAATAAGGGGCCAGGCACAGTGGCTCACACCTATAATCCCAGCACTTTGGGAGGTGGACAGATTACCTGAGGTCAGGAGTTTGAGATCAGCCTGGCCAACATAGTGAAACCCTGTCTCTAACAAAAATACAAAAAAATAGCCGGGTGTGGTAGTGGGTGCCTGTAATCCCAGCTACTTGGGAGGCTGAGGCAGGAGAATCACTTGAACTCAGGAGGCAGAGGTTGCAGTGAGCCAAGATCACACCATTGCACTCCAGCCTGGGTGACAAGAGTGAGACTCCATCTCAAAAAAAAAAAAAAAAGAAAAGAAAAAGAGAAAAGAAAAACAGAAAAAACATATATCCACATAAAAACTTGTACATGAATGTTTACGGCAGCATTATTCACAGTATCCAGTAAGTGGAAGCAATCTAAATGTCCATCAAACAGTGAATGGGTAAACAAAATGTGGCATATCCATACAATGGAATATTATTTGGCCATTCAAAGGAATGAAATACTGATACACGCCACAACATGGATGAACTTTGAAAATATTATCCTAAAGAAGCCAATCACACACACACACACACAAACCCATATTGACATTTATATGAAAGTCTGGAATAGCAAATCTACGGAGACAGAAAATAGAATAGTGATAGCCCAGGGCTGCTACAGGGAGGGATATGGGGAAGGGTCCAGGAGTGACTGCTAATGGGGATAGAATTTCTTTTTAGGGGTGATGAAAATGTTCTAACATTGACTGTGGTGATGGTTGTACAACTGTGTGAACATACTAATACCACTGAATTGTACACTTTCAATAGTTGAATTATATGAATTATATGCTATATGAATTATATCTTAATATAGCTATTTTAAAAAAAAAAAAAAGGTAAACAAAAGTTAAGGGAAACCTGGGGCTGGAGTAGGGATGGTGGAGAGAGATGATGCATTTACCCCAGTGGTCTGGAGGTTTGCTGAGATGTCAGAGAGGGGAAGAAGAGGCTCAAGACCATCTGCCCAAAGCTTTCAGTAAAGCAAAGAACACTTACATGTGTGGTCAGCACCCTTTGATTCACCCAGAAATCTCAGGAAGAATGAGGATACTGAATAACAGACCTGGTTTAACCTGGATTGGGGCCTAACTAGCACCTTAGCATGTAATATAAGGGAATCTGGACTGAATTGTGATGTTTAGAACTTGGCATGCAAGTCCTTCACTCAGCTTATGGCTGGCAGGGATTTATGCCAATCCTAACTTTCAGTGGCATGGCCTGAGTATGACTCTACCAGACCTTGTGTGTATTGAGACACTTAGTCCTTTTTTTTTATTATTTGTAAAGTGATACTATGTTTTTCTCTATGTCTTCACATTATGTTTACAAATAATTTAACATGAGCCTGTGTTAGCAAATCTTCCCAAAAGTCCTCTCCCATTTTCATGCTCCCGCACCCCCACACACCCAGCTCACTATATAAAGCCCATAGAAGAAACTTTCCCTTCCTGAAACCATACCTAATTCACCTGCAGTAGTCATGGAATCTAAAATAAAAATCCTATCCTTTTGTTCAAGGCAAGTACTACATGTAAGTTCCTCTCCATGACTTCCCAGTGAAGAAAAGAAACACGGCGGAGAGGACCTTCAAAGTTCTCCCAACTCTGAAGTGCGCTGATGCTTGCATCCATGTATCATCTTTTCCAGATCAGACTTTGTGTCTCATGGATGTGGCAAAGGCAGCAGAACTGCACCAAGACAGAGCTGGTAAAGAGCAACTCAGGTGGAAGGTCCCTGGGGGCAAGTACTGCTGAAGTCATTAAAGTTGCTGGCGTTATGTTTCTACGATTCTCTGATCCCACGTCCTATATGTCATAACAATATTAGAGAGGAAGCACCATCATAAATAAAACCAAAAAGCACACAGTTTTTAATAATTCATTTGGCTATATCACACCACCTATGTGATGTCTGGTTTTAAAAGAATTATATGGATTTGTATCTTAATATTTTAACAATTATTCACTTGTACAGGTAGTCGATTCCTCTGCCACTCCAAAAAGT